AGCGCTCTATATACACTAGCTTTGTCATGATGACGTCACAATCACGGATTTGAATCGCTGCCAAGTATTTACCTGTGTAGTCAGCATAAAAAACGTAGGTCTATCGTATTGATGCACACGCCCCCTAATTTTTTTGCACACGGTCCTTACAGGTATAAAAGCCCAGGTAAAAAGTGCACACGGCTCACAGCAGGTATATAAATCGGAGTTGGGAGTACCCTGCACTCATTATTTAGCCATCATGTCTTTTGTGTGGAGAATTATCTATTGGATTGATGTAGAAAAAACAATATGCTATCACTGCAATGAGAAGACGAAAGAGATACATAAATACGTCGGCTACAACGATGCGGGAGAAGTTGTTGATTGGTACTGGGGATGTAGTAAATGTAGAGAACCTATGCCACACTGGATGGTAGATGACCCCCCTTCCATGGAGACTTGTGGTTGTAGCTGGTGCCTGAAATATTTCATCTGGAAGAAAGGAATTGAGAACATACCGCCTCCCCGATGGGTGAAAATGACCAGGAACAGACCTTTGAAAGAATGTATGATGTGCTACCAGGAAAAGACTGGAGGAAAATGGAAATGCGGACAATGCCGGCAATATCCGTGTTGTGAAAAGTGTGTGAAGAAACTCTTTGAGACTTCCTACAAGAAATGCCCCTTATGCCGATATGAAGGACAATAAAATCATTTTTTGTATTTTTTGACTTGAATAAAAATTTGTGTTTAAAAATTCTTTGTTGTTTTGTTGTTTGTTTTAAAAAATAAAATATAATTTAAAAAATAAAAATTTAAAAAATAAAATAAAATAGATGAAAGGTTTTATCAAGAGGTATATCACAAAACCCTCTCTCATTCTGAAAAAGGACACTGAACAAGTCAGACGTGTTTTTTGTTTTTTCCCCAAAGATGCAGTATCGTTGGTATTGTGAGAGTCCCATTAGTCAGTGTATGTACATGCAAGGAGGGTGGATGAAAACTAAAATAGGAGCCATCATGGATTTCTTTGAAAATCATCCAGGCTATTACCTGGAGAATGTGTGGTTGGAAAAAAGAATGAAAATTCCCTATCCTCTAACAGGATCTAGAGTGAGGGTGAAAATCAACCAACATTATCAGCAATTCAAATGGGTTACTTGTACTCAAAGGAATCGACTGACACCCATCAACACCATTCAGAATGAAAGTTCATGGTACTCGGACATTGGAGATTGTCTGAAATATTATTTCAAGATGGAGAAAAAAGGACTGATGTTTCCACCTCATTATTGTCCTACAGAGTACTTGTATTGTCGCATCCCCTTTTCCCAGATTAAAGACTCGGTGGAAAAGAAAGGACATTTGTTGACTCGAGTGATTGAGGACCGATCATCAGAAGAAGAAGAAGAAGAAATAGATGTGTAAATTTTTTGAATAAATGTTTTTGAATTTTTTTTAAAAAAGTGTTGTTATAAATACAAAGGTCTTAAGGTCTAGAGTCTCAGTCTTAGATTGAACATGGCCGAGAGCAGTGGGTTTTACATGACTTTACCCAGTGATGGGTCTATGACCTCTTTTTCTAGCAATACTGTAACGCCGTCGAGCGGTAAACGGCTCTATTTAAATAATCCAAGTGTGATAAACTCCAGTTTTATTAATAATCCATGTGACTTAAATTCTCCAACCTCTAAAGCATACGCTTTAGGTTAAATGAAACGCAAAATAAAATTATTTACAGTTTATTTACATCACAAATAAATCCAAGTTTCACACATTATAAATCACTGGCCGGACTGCACTTTTCCTACATGTATATCCCGTAATAGAATTAATAAGACTGACTGCCCCTAAGCTTTTACTCGACCTATATATATACATAATGTGCATTGCTCATGAGGAGCAATCTTTTTTAACGGGGTCAGTTATGTAACGACATTGCTCGCGCGGAGCAATGATATGTAAACAAACATTACGTAACAATGAAACAGAATAATACTATAAGATACCGTTACAACTCCCCCCTACTTAAGTTTTTGACTCCGATCAAAATTAATGTACAACAATATAAAATATGATTTGATTACCCCTATTATAATACATGTAAAACAGACAATTAAGACATAATTTAAATTCAAATATCAAACATACGACTTAATAATTATTCAAAGTGCAGCCAGTTAATTATACGCAATTAAGCACAATTGTAAATACAAACAAATCAATAACTTTACGCATAATAAGCAGTCAATATGTATTAAAAAAAAATCATGACAGTTTTTATATATTTACAAGTTTGTTCATCAAAACTTAACAGTTCCTTTCATAGAGAAATGTCGCCTTTAACAATCCGAACATGGCCGTCCTCGAAATGTTTCGGCACTTCCGTCAGTATTTCGTTAGCCACATTTGGAAAGTCAATATCATCCGGGTTAAGATCTTCTGAATACACGATATGTGAGTCTCTGCTTATTTCTTCCGTACCATCTAGGTTACGTTTCACAGTCTTATGTAACACCAGACAAATTGTTGATTTCTGCGTGAGATTAGTGTCCTGATTCTCACTGTCACAATCACTGTCACAAGCACTCGTTTCTGGTTGGCTGTCCTCATCTATAGATATAACTTCCCGTGTGTCCGCCGACTCGTCTTCCAACATCTCGACTATCCGGTCATTAGTAAAGTCTGCACAATTATGGAGAATGTCGTCTACCAGAGATTCGTCAATCTCCGGCAATTCTGAATCAAAAGAAATATCATCGAGATAATCCACATTGGTCACATCAGTCTCTTGCGCGTCTCCGTAAGTCTCATCGTTCTCATCGGACGATATGTCTTCATACAAGTTGCTATGAACGTAGACAGGTTTCCTGGATTCAAAGAAGTCATCACGCTCGACTCGTCTCCGCTTTGAGGGCATGGCTGCTTCTAATTGTTCACTATTTAGTTTGTGAACTGAATTCAAATGTCTTTTCAAATTAAATCTTCGCAAGAAGGGTCTCTGGCAATAACTACACTGTAAACTATTTACATGATCACTATGTTTCTCTCTGGTATGCTGATGAAGATTACTGCTGGTGCTGAATGTCTGTCCACAAGTCTCGCACAACATTTGTCGAATGTTTATTTTCTGAAACGGATGGGGGTTCTTATAGTCCGTCCTCCTCGGGTCATCTTCATTCTTGGTTCTGATTGGTCAGCTTCCGAATTGTCTGTTCTCGGGGGCGGAGCTAGCGGTAACTTCAAACGCCGCCGGCCTGGTCCAGACGCATGCCGTTGTTGACCGTCTGGTGTCTCGCCACCCGTGTATTCCGCTGTCTCGCTGGTTGTATAGCGGGACTGCTGTCGCTCTCCGCAGTAGGGTTTGATGTTGTCGGCGTGCACTATGACGGGTTTCGACTGTTTTGAATGCTTAATTTCATAAAGCACATTACTTAATCTTCTAATTATTATCCATGGCCCAGTCCATTTTCTCGACAGTTTTAACTTTTGTCCTTTATCGACTTTTGGTTGACTTCTTCGTACTAAATCTCCAACTTCATAATAAACTTCACGCACGTTACGATCAAAATAACTTTTCTGTCTCTGAGATGCTTCTTTCGTAACTTCCCTTGCGTAATCATGAATTGTGGAAAGTTTTTCCTCTAAGTCGCGCACATAAACTGCTCTGTTCGCATCTTTTTCGGGCATTTTCATCGCTTCATTTTCAGTCAGAACATTTATCGGTAATTTGGCTTCTTTACCAAAAACTAGTCTATATGGCGAAATCCGTGTAGTTTCATGCGGAGTAGTGTTGTACGCGAGAACGATGCCATCCACAAAACGGTCCCAATCAGTTTGATTTGCATTAATGTACTTAGACAGCATGTCTTTTATTGTTCTGTTCATCCTCTCTACCATTCCGTCTGACTGAGGATGATATGGTGAAGTACGCGTTTTGTCAATTTGAAATAATCGGCACATTTCCTGAAAAAGTTTACTTTCAAATTGTTTTCCTTGGTCTGAGTGAATAGCTCCAGGACATCCGTATCGCTTAATCCATCCTTTAAACAGGACCTCGGCTACCGTTTCAGCCTCCATGTTCATGAGTGGAAATATCTCAGCAAATTTTGTAAAATAATCCATCACTACCAGAATGTAAGAATATCCATTATCTGACTTGGGGAATGGTCCGGCTAAGTCCAATGCTATTCTTTGAAATGTTTCACCACTCAGGAAGGTTTTCATACGCGATCTCTTTTTCCGAGGCGGATTTTTCCTCTCTTCACACACATCACACGATAATACGTAGTCATGAACGAATTTGTCGCATCCTAGGCCAATAATAGTCCGAATTTCACTTTTTCTAAAGTCTTTTTGACACCCATATGACCTCCAACATTAGAGTCATGGAAGTGCCATAACACAACTTGACGCAGTTTCCGTGGTAGACATATCTTTAGTTCCTCACTATTATTTGAAATCCAGCGAATACACAGAACACCTTGATCAATGCACAATAAATCCCATCTTGAATACCAATATTTGCACTCGAAGTTTTCACATGACACAGTTGATAATGGCGGTTTTTCATTCTTTTCCATCCAGTGGAGAATAACGCGCGTTCCAGGGTCATTCTGTTGTTTCTCTCGAATATTTCCTCGATTTAATGACTCCTCCGGCTGTTTCCGAATCTTTGCTCGCATTGGTCTATTTGTTCGCTTCTTCTTCACAGGGGAAATAACGGCACAATCACTTGATTTTCAGAGTTCGTGTTATCCTTAAATAATACACTTAAATCAAACACGTGATTGACACTTCCTTTTGAATTATTCCTTAGTTCGGAAACATGTGAATATTTCTGAATTTCACTTCCTTCACTTTTCTCACGTTTACACTGTTTACAATTCGATTCACAAGAAACACGAGATAATGCATCTGCATTTCCATGTCGTTTCCCAGCCCTATGTTCAATCTTAAATATGTACGGTCCAAGTCGCTGAAGCCACCGCGCAATTTGTCCATCCGGTTCTCGGAATCTATGAAGCCACACAAGGACCCGATGGTCTTGTTCTAAGCAAAAACTCTCGACCAAGTAAATAGTGCTTAAAGTGTTGAACAAAGTACACAACAGCTAGCATTTCCTTACGTGTAACACAATAATTTCTTTCAGAATTATTTAGCACACGGCTTCCATAGGAAATCACAATTTCTCTTCCATTCTGAATCTGCGATAACACAGCGCCTATAGCCTCGTTGCTAGCATCAGTGTCTAGTATAAAGTCACCAGCATTCACATCGGGATATCCAAGAATAGGTGCAGATATCAATTTCTGTTTCAAAAATTCGAACGCTGTATCACATTCTTGTGTCCAATTCCATTCTTGATTTTTCCCAGTAAGAATATGCAGACATTTTGCGGTTTTAGCAAAGTCTTTAATGAATCTCCGGTAATACGCTGCTAGTCCTAAGAAACTTCTAAGTTCCGTTACATTGCTCGGGGTTTTCCAGTTTTTCACAGCTTCTATTTTTGAAGGATCTGTTTTAATACCCTCCTTTGAAACGATATGTCCAAGAAAGCTCACTTCCCGCCTAAAGAAATTGCACTTCTTCGCTTTTAGTTTTAGGTTGACACTCTGCAGTCTATCTAATACTAAACTAAGATTATCTAAATGTTCGTCAAAAGTACGACTGTACACCAATAATGTCATCCAAATATAAGACTGTTATATTCCACTGTAGTCCATTTAACGCCTGTTCTATAACTCTTTGAAACGTTGCCGGGGCGTTGCATAATCCGAAAGGCATAACCGTATAATGGTAAAGGCCACCACGAGGTGTAGCAAACGCTGTTTTCTCCTTATCCTCCTCACTCATAGGAATCTGATGATAAGCCATATTGAGATCTAATGACGAAAACCATGTAGATCCAGCGAGGGAATCGAGATCATCTGCCACACGAGGTATCGGATAAGCGTCTTTGATGGTATTCGCATTCAATTTCCGATAATCGACACAAAGCCTCCAGCTTTTGTCCTTTTTCTGGACTAATACAATAGGAGCGGACCAGGGACTATTGGACTTCTCTATTAATCCCTGTTCTTCTAATTTCTTTATTTCTTCATCCATTATTTCCCTCTTGAAAATAGGTACCCTGCGCACTGGTTCCTTGAGGGGAATTTCCTCCTTTAACTTACTGCGATGTTCCCCAATCGTTGCACGCTCCACTGGTTTGTTTGGGTCTGCAAACGCGTCCACACGAGCTAAGAGAAAGTTCTTAAACTTTGCCGCTTGCTCTCCAGTTAGATTTTCACTCGCTTCTTTAAAAACTTGTTCTAGATGCTCTGGCAATTTGTGCCTCCTGACATTACACTACACACTTCCGGGGTCTTCAATGTTGACACAGTTTCTACAGGATCAACACAGCTATGTCGGTACACTTCTGCACATAAACGTCATGGTCATTCGGATTAAACACGCGCACAAAAATATTATTTTCACCACGTGTAGATTTCACTAACTCTCTTGCCACGGCTAATCCATGATTATGTACAAATGATTTTAGAGGTAACAGCACCCCATCACAAGCATCTACACTACTATCGAATGTAGCCTTTATAATACTCTCATGATGAGCTGGAACAACACTGTCCTCCATGCTAATAATATATCCCCGCAAGACTTCAGCATCTGAACTAAGGTTGCACACATTAGATACATAGTTCCATTGACACTGGAATTTGGTGATAAAAATCTTGGCCCAGTAAATTACATTTTACGTCTGCCACAAACACTCGAAATATCACTTGAAATCCTTGAAAAGAAAGTAGCATTTTTGCAGTTCCCGTAACTTTCAATCTTCTTCCGTCGGCTGTATTAAATTGCTTTTTAGCGCGCTCCAGCACAGGTCTGTGTTCTGGAAGAATGTTCCAATAAACCTCTTCTGTTATGAACGTGTTCATTGCACCAGTGTCAAATTTCCACTCTAACGATGTGCCTTCCACTAAGCCATCTAATCTCATTCCTGGTTTTCCTTTAATTTTTATAACTCCTTGATTTTTCTCGTTAGACTCGTAATTCAAGTGCAAATTTTCAACATCTGTTTGAGTTGATACTGCAGGCATTTCTACACTGCTATCATCCTGACGTTGTTCCTCTCCTGTACTAGGCCGCTTAACTAACTGCTGTGCCGACACATGGCCTACTGCCTCGGCACTCTTAAATTTAAAGATTTCTGGGGGTTTGGCTAACAGCATTTTTTCGCTTTGGACAGTCTTTATACAAATGCATAGAAGAATTACAGCCGTAACATTTCTTCAAAGTTTTACTTTTATCCTCCATATCTGGATTAGCGCGGTACGTTTTCCCGGTCACTGGGACTTTTCCCTGATTGGAGAACTCGCTAACTCTATAAATGGGTCTTACAGGGTTGTTTTCCCTGTTTCTTAAATTCCGATTCTCTGTCATACGAATGCATTCCTCCTGCATCGCAGCAGTCACTGCTTCTTGTAGGCTTTTTGGTCTAGTGCGCTTCACAGCTAAGCGGAAATCATCATCATGATTACAGTTGTCCATAAAAGTTTTAAGACTAGCTTCTTCCACATAGTCTCGATTTCCAGGGTGAGCTCTTCTATACAAATCAGCTATCGCTTGGCCAAAATCTCGGAACGATTCTGTCTGGAGTTTTTTTCGCATTTTTGCCTCAACGATATAGCTCTCCTTCATCGCAGTATGTCCAAATCTGTTGTCCATTTGTAGTTTAAGTTGGTTATAGTTCCCTATAATATTATCTGGTAATCCATATGCGAATGCTTCCGCTTGTCCACGGAATGTAGTAATAAGAACTCTTCGTCTCATGTCAATGGACCAATTATTTAACGCAGCAATATTCTCAAAATATCTCACAAATTCACTCCACACTTCTGTTCCTTCTCCTTTGAATGTGCGTTTGACCTGAATGTTTAATCCCCGTCCTGGCAATCCGCCTTCCTCATTGTAACTTCCGGCTTCCTGATCTGGTGCTCTATCAGTTGAAATATTCCGCACAGTGCTAGTTATCCGTCCAGCATTACGCGTAGTCCTTTTATGAGTAGATTGACACATTTTCCAAACAACAGCACACACAATCAAGCCTAATAATAATATTCCAATATTTCCCAATGCCTCATGTGTCAAGCGTGACAGTAAATTTTGAGGAATGTAGCGAAACACTCCTAACACAGTCAAAACGAGGGCAAGTATTCCACTTATCCATATTGTTATCCCAGAATACCACGTACTCTCATTCTGCGCTTCCGTGCAGTTCTCTCCATTCACAATTCTATTCTGTGGTGATTCCGTATTGGCAACAATCGGAGACGGTAATTCACTTTCAAAATCCTGTAATAGATTCCGCCTCACAGAAGTTCTTGGTCTTGGAGTAGTTTGTGGAAAACTACTAGGCGAAGTAAAAGTTAAATCCATATCCGCTGGCGAATGTGTAGTGCGATCACCGCCTTGAAACATTTTTAAGAAAAGGGCACAGTGCGTCAAAAGCACAAAAATCACAAAAGGATCCAGTTTGAGAATTCACAGAAATCACTAATTATTCATCCTAATCCTGCATGCACACGACGGACACTTGTAAAATCTCCTCACAGTTTTTCCATTATCCAGAATATGTTGATTTTCACTTTTCAGAAACATATTAAAACAATTCGGACACTCTTTGCGTAGATAATAATCTTCAATTCGCACTAGTACTAATTTCCCAGAGTCATCATAGTCATAAATATGTGCCAGTCTTTGGGGTGGAGTATTTCTGAAATCCATAATTAGTAAACACACGCATGAAAATAATAATCCGAGCAGTATCACTATGTTCCGTTTTCCTTCCAAACACTTGCAACTGTTGATATGGTCACAATTTACGCATCGGTATTTAAACACAGAAAAAATAAATAAATAAAATCACCGGAATAATATCCAACTGGAATAAAATCCCACCAAGCGGCCACCAGTTGTAGCGCCGTCGAGCGGTAAACGGCTCTATTTAAATAATCCAAGTGTGATAAACTCCAGTTTTATTAATAATCCATGTGACTTAAATTCTCCAACCTCTAAAGCATACGCTTTAGGTTAAATGAAACGCAAAATAAAATTATTTACAGTTTATTTACATCACAAATAAATCCAAGTTTCACACATTATAAATCACTGGCCGGACTGCACTTTTCCTACATGTATATCCCCTAATACAAATAATAAGACTGACTGCCCCTAAGCTTTTACTCGACCTATATATATACATAATGTGCATTGCTCATGAGGAGCAATCTTTTTTAACGGGGTCAGTTATGTAACGACATTGCTCGCGCGGAGCAATGACATGTAAACAAACATTACGTAACAATGAAACAGAATAATACTATAAGATACCGTTACAATACGACTGCTCAATTTAAAACCTTATCACCACAATCCCTAGATTTAACCGACGGAGAATGGGAAGTGGCTTTAACAGAAATGATGTATCCCAATTCATTGAAAAACATTACAGAAAAGGAGGCTTATTTTGACATCCTGGTTCCTCAGTCTTATGCTCGCCATATCAAAAACCCCAATGTTTATGGCAGATTTAAAATGAAAACCTTAGACCCAATGCCATTACGTCAATGTCCTGTACTGCTCGATTGGGCCCATACTAAACGACCTGCACTCGTTGAACTAGATAGCAAGATGGAAATTAGACGAATTCACTTCAGACCCGGGCCTTACACTCACCCCAAGGCCTTAACAGAGGAAATAAGTCTAGGACTAGAGAGATCATTGAAAAAAATATGGAAAACCCTTGGTGATG